CAGCGGCTCTGCCCCGGTGCCTGAGGCGGGCGCAGGGCTGGATGCGTGACCTGGCGCGGGCTCCCTGCGTTTCCTTCTCTGCTAGGAGATAAAGCAGTCTCAGATGTTCTGCACTTCAGGGTTTCACATAAGGGCGCTCACAATATGGCCCTATAAATCTGTATTACAGCCACTCCAATGTTTAATAAAAATGAATTATTAACCCCCAAAATTTGATAAATATTCCCCGTACGTGGCTATGTTCGGAAGCACAGGGTGCTTCATCACTTCCACATAAAGGCGGAAGGGACTTGTTGACAAGCAGTGTAACGGCGACCAGCTGCAAGGCCCCGAAGCTGGTTTTGCATCCACGAAAGCAGCAGTGGGCAATGCCTGTCGCGTATTTCAAAAGTGACAGCAAAGCGTATCCTGAACCACAAGTTCTGAGGGATCAGTGGGATCTGCTGAGAAGTCCAAACCTGCCTCAAGCAACATCCAATAAAACCTCTTCTCAAGACCGCTGCCTCTACCCTGGAGACATCCATTGCATGACTATAAAAGACAAGGGTTAATGCTGGCCAAAGGAGCTACCAGTTTACCACTTCTCCAAAAAGACTGTCATGAAAAAATAAATCAAGATCTTTGATTCTTAACCAATTTCAAAATTGTATTAAATGAATCTATTAAATAGAGACCAACATGTATGAAATCACAGATGCAAGGATCCATTTTTACCTCCTGAAGAAATGGAACCTTAAGACTCAGAGGAAAAAATAAAGCTCACTGTTCACACTGGATGATCTTCATCCTAAGGAAACCACATTAATTGCAAGAAATTAATTAATAAGTAGTTAGAACAGGAGCAAAATACTTCTCAGTAGGCCAGAAAATGTAACAGGAGGCGATAGCCATGAATAAGGAAGTTCAGGCTGGACATTAGGAAAAGTCTTTATTGGGGGAGGTAGCACAGCACTGGAACAAGTTGCCCAGAAAGGCTGCATAAACTCTGTCCTCAGAGGCTTTTCTAGATATATCTATACAAAGACATGGCTGACTTGATTGCACATCGGCAACAGTCCCACTAGAAGCAAGAGAATGGACTAGAGACCCTCAGAAATCCCTTCCTATGGAGGGTTCATGCAGCCACAGAAAGTCTGTTTATTTGTAAATCCATTCGACTCACAAGATTGTTCTCACTCACTTATCAACAAAGAACCAGTGACTTAACACTGTGCCAGTTCAGTCCATGTGAAGCAGCCTGATCCACCCACAGCCTAGAGTCTTTCCCGGAAGCTCCCCACAGATTTTACAGTACATCCAGCCATTAACTAGTCCAAAACAACCACTAGCTAGTCCAAAGGCACACAGTTGTGAAGCTCCTCAGGCCATATTTGCCCAATTTCTGGTAGCAGACAAGGTTTGTTTCCTAATGCATCCAAGTAAAAATCTAGAGAACATATCAATTATCTGAGAGAGAACCAGCATCTATCAGTTAACGCCCTCATCTGCACAAGGCCAGCCAGAGCAGCAGAGGTCTCCTTGAGCAAACACACACGGACATGGAGCTGCTCGGTCCTCAGCACGGCCCACCCTGACCAGGCGCACGTGAAATCAAAGGGCCGCTGATGTTCACGACAGCTAACAGGGTCTCAGAGAGAAACCCCATCCCGTTCATGCGAAACCTTGGCACCCAAGCCGGGAACGCTTGGCGGTCACGCCGCCGGGACTTTCGTGACAGTATTTACCTTGCACATCCTCAACGCTCAGCCCACAGCCTTCCCAAGTTAGAAGTGCAACTTGAACGCTTGCCTGCTCCGTATCGCTTCACCACCCATGGTCCAATGTACCTGCCTCCTCACAGTACGTGTGACACAGGTACTGGCACGTAACAACATCTGCCTCAACAGAAGGCCTAAACCGGTCTTTCTACGGGATGCTTTCAATGCAAGAAATGCTTTCACAATTGAGCATCTATCCATATTTCAAATGTCCCAAATTAGTCTACTAAATGAACTGTGTCAACAGGAGGTTGAAATACTCTTAAATCAATTGCCTAATCTACTAATTCTTCATGACATTCTGGAAAGGACATCTGTAGGTCAAGTACACTGAAAATGAAATCATTAGGAGCTGCACTGTGAGAACAACAGATTGAAACAGGTACCAAATTTACAAATTCACCATCTTTATGCTTTAATTAATTCAATGCAAAAAGCAGACTCTATTGTAAGGCCTAACTCTGTCCTTCCTCACATGGAAAGCACAAAGAATTTTTAACACAAATAAACCCCCTGCTTCAAAGAATTAAAAACTATTACAGGTAATGTGAACAGAAGTATTGGAAACAAATCTTAAAGAGGAAA